TTATGTGTTCAGTTGTTGATTATTTTCCTCCAAACAAAAATCTCTGGGATTCTGTCTTCCTTCCAGAGCAATTTGAATTTGAGGCAATCTCCTTCTGTTGTTACAGCAAGTGAATACAGCTCTTACAGCCATATAACAATATTTGACCCAGAAGTAAACCAAACAAGTAGATCACAATGATATTCCCTTACCTCTTTTCTTCCCCGTGTCACTTAAAGGTATAATAGAGAATTTTCGCGAATTTATGAAAAGACCCGCCCTCTCCACTTAAAAAGAAAAAAATATATACACATGCACAACCCTGTACCTGCTCCCGAGAGGGAACGCCTATTAAACGCATGTAAGAGCATGCACAAGCCCATTTCTTCATGCTAACGCTCTGTTTAAAAGCTGCTGTTTTCATCGGTCATGCTTCCAAAAGAGAAAGACGAGCTTCAATGTCTTTCTGGAACAGAAGCTCACCACACATATACACCTAAAAGTGTTGTTTGCATCGCTCACAAGCTTACTTTCCAAAAGAAAATTAGCAACTTTTCCATTATGTCAGACTCACCACCAGTAAGTGAAAATGGGGACGAACATTTAGGACGGCCTTATGTAAATATATCACAAGAATGATTGACAGTTTGGAGGATTACTTATTTTGATGATCCACCTGGAAAAGAACTATACCTTTAAGAAAGCAATAGGTTTGAGGCATTATCTAGAGTTGCTTCCACTGCAGTTAAATGCAAAGGTGGAGAAAGTAAAATCCTTCCCAAGTTTCCTGTATTATGTACACTTAACAAGATGATTAGCCTCTGTAGTTGTTGTGAAGTTGAAAATGCAAATGGTGGAAACGTATTTTTATAAAGGCTGTTTACTCTCTGGACCTCTATTCTTAACTTTTGCTTGGATCATATTGGGAGTACCGGTACTTTATTTTACAGTAATCTATTCCTTGTGGTTATCTAGGGTTAATTTTATTTTAGGTCAAAAAGCTCACAAAGCATATTTATCTGAGATTCTAAATAGTTTAACTTCTTCTCTTGAGTTTATGGAAAGTCAAAAAGCACTCAATCTCTATCTTGACATTTATCGTATAGAAATAACTTTGGTCAGCCTAAATCATTTAATATTCAGCAGTGAATAAGAGAATGCTGCTACTTATTCAGTTTATGGAAATACCCACTTTAAAAAACATAGCGAATTATTTTATTTGGAAGTTATACCATTAATTATTATTTTCCTCTATATGAATATTTATATTGCATTATAATGTTGTATGTTATTATTTTAAGTTTAATGAACACTTTTAGGACTTTAATAAAAACTTTTCTTTTGTCTGGAAATTCTGAAATAGAGCTTTTTTGGATAATAAAGTTTTCCCAATGATCATTAAAGTGCACTATAGCTAGGGTTGCCTTTTTTCAGATTCTTTCTTTTATGCTTAAAAATTATGCTAGGATCTCATCAATTTCACCTAAACAAAGTGAATATCCAATATCATATCATATCAATGAGAGTGTCATGATTTTGGGTAGGCTTTTGTTCATTAACCTGCTGTAGATGGATAGAAAGTGTTGTGGGACGTTGGAATTAACATGCAGAGAGTGTTTACTTTTCTGAGCTGAGAGCTTCTCCAGATCACTAAAAGTGGATGGCAAGCAGTAACATTCCATGCCCCTCAGATGCCCTATTTTATTTAATGTTCTTTCTTCCTTCAAACAGCTATTTCCTTTCCATGTTTATCTGTTTTGATGTCAAGTTTAAGGATAGAGTATTCTTTACAGAAATATATATTTGATGAATATATTTAAAATCTTGCAGATACTTAACTAAATCTGAGATTCCAGATACTGTAGGTAAATCTCAATCACATATTAACCCTTTAACTTCCTTGTCAACCTTCAACCTGTATTTAACTGAGAATATGGTCAACCATTTGGCTGACCAAACAGTTAAACCATTTCTTCTAAATTACTATTTTAAAGAACCACATGTAAATTCAAAGAAATTAGAGTGGATAGAGTGAAATAGAGATGTACACCGGAAGGCTGAGAGTGAGACTTTTAAAGGACCTTTATCTAGCAAAGGCGTTATAAAATCCAACAAGACTAGGTGAGCAGAAATAAAGAAAGGCAATTTGTTATTAGTGAGGCTTCTGCCACTGTTCAGCAAAACTTCTTAATGTAAATACGTATTTGTGTATCTTGGTCTATCCCATCATGATTGTAAAAAATTATAGACTACAAACACTAAGGAAAGCCATTTAAAGCCATCTCCGGGTTGGTTATTGTATGTACGCCTCAACAGCAAGCATGGTGGCCATGAGCTGAGATGGATTTTCCTGTCTGGGGAAACGTTTATTGATTTGAAGACGTAGAAGAAAGGGAAACCAATTTGTGGGACAAATGTCCTGACAGCTGGAGGGACCTTACAACCTATTTAGCAACAAAGGATCCCCTACTCTTCACCCAGCAGATACATGACTGCCAACTGGGATAGATCTTCTATCACCTGGCCAAATTCCTGCCCCAACAAATGAGGGTAGATTACAAACTTACTGAGCACCACCAGAAACCATTAAAATTGACTATCTTCTCTGTATTTACCGAGTACGTCACCTCTTAACTCTATTTGTGTTAAAAAAATATGTTGGTTTTTTTCACTCTTTATGGAGTGGCCATAATGTTTATTGTTTCACATTTATAAACAGTCAACTTAAATGTTTTTTCTTTGTGCAGTCCTCTTTTCCATTTTATCCTACAAACTTTTGATAAGATCTCAGTAATTTCACTTGTTTCTTTACTTTAATTCAATTCTGTCTATTTATATAGATATATATCTGTATATATGTCATGGGAAAAAAGTATTCAACTATTCATCCTGGTTAAATAAACGTAGATCGATGGATTTCACAGTCGGCACATTTATTAATATCTTTGCAAAGAGAGAACAGTCAACATACAGCCGTAATGGCACAGCATTCTGCCCTGTTCTGATCTAGGCAGCATTCGTTCCCCCTTACTTACAACAGTGGAAAAGAAGTCAGAGTCAAAACAAATTACAGACACTTTGGTTAAACAGTAACATGTTATGAATAAACCTTGAGAAAGAATCTGATTTGTTATGGGAAGAAGCTATGTCTGGTCGACAAACAACATCCTGCAGAGGATGGTGTGGCCTTGAAAGTGAAACAGACTGAGTGAAAAGTTTATAGTGAGTAAATAGGATAAATTAATATATAATAGAAGAAATAAAAATGTTCCGACAACAAATGTCATCTCACGGTGCTTTGTTAATCAAAAGCTACTTCCTGTTCTACTATTAGTAACTCCAGGAAGATCTTGCAGACCTATAGTCAGGGGGCAAATAGATCTGTAAACAATCAGATCTGTAAACTGATGGAGCTCAATTATTAAGGGGTTAATCCGAAAAATTGATAATTTAACCATTTTTTTTATTATTTTAGCAGGGAGTAAACTAGAAAAATTGAAGAATTTGTTAAATATACAGCAAAGTCTTTTATTTCTAATCTAATCATTTTGGGTATGCTAAAGGTTTTTAGTATTTCTGGTTTTCCTTATTGTAAAGCATGAGAGTAATCGGAGGAAATCCACAAACTACTGTTTAATTCCCTAGTTATTCCATTCCATGCTCAACTCATCATGTAAAGCCATTTTTATTTCATACTGCTGTATTCTTTATGCCAGGCTTTGTCTATCTATGTATTTATCACAATTCTCATTCTATATAAAGCTATAGGGATCATCAAGATGTTTTTTCCGAAAGTAAGAGATACTTGCATGCCATTTTGGATCAACAGTGGTTTTCATGTTGGAAAATACACATTGTTATCATTTCTATTAATTTCAGGTGATATTCTTGAGGCCAGTCCATTAAACTGAATCTTTCAAAGGCTTAGATTTGATTTTAATGCATGTATAACTCTTGGATAATGATTTGTTTCTCTTTTAATTTTGGTATTTTGATGGTCTTGCTTTTCATGCAATGGCTCCCAGTTGATCCATGTTTTTCTATTACTGGACAATGTCTCCTACTGTGTTTCACTGGATGTTCAGTGCCTATAATAATAATAATAATAATAATAATAATAATAATGATAATACTGATAATAATAATAATAATAATAATAATAATAATAATAATAATAATAATAATAATAATAATAATAATAATAATAATAATAATAATAATAATAATTGAACTTTAGTGATCTCACATGGGAGAAATTTACCGCTGCATTTAACCCATCCCCTTGGGGAGCAGTGGGCTGCCATCATGGGGCGCCCAGGGAGCAGTTTGGGGTTACTGCCACATAAATGGCTGCAAGGGGAAATTTTGTCTATTTCTCTTGTTAAATGTAATGCGACTAAAAGATGGAGTCTGGCCAATTTGGATATTGCATGTTGTTAAATTACGATTATGTTGAAAACCCAATCAATTGCCTAGTGGTTTGTTTGGATAGCTTTTTCTATTAAGGAATAATTAATACTTTTATGTGTTTACTCATAATATATCTTTCTTGATGTATCTTTTTTATGGTCTAACATAATTGCATATTTTATGTAACAGAAGGAAAAAAAATACTGCTCTCTTTGGCAGAAAGGACAATGAATGCATGTGACAAAAGGATTGCAGTCAAAAGAAGAAACGTGCTCTAATGAGTTGCATAATGCTAATTGCCAACTTTTGTTTCAAAATCCTTGAAAATCTATGAGGAATGTATGTCATTCTACTCATGGCAAAACTCCATTGATACCTCCTGGGTCTCTGCTTTTAGCAGTTTAGTGAGGAAAAGCAGCTGAGGTGATTCCTGGCTCGCTCAAAATTGGCACTCGATTATTTCACCCAGCTGGCTCGAGAGGATCTGGAAATCATCCAACCAGAGCTGGAAACAGAAAGTGTACCCCTTCTTCAATTCCTCTCCCTGCTTCCCTAAAGTGGACCTAAATGGTCTGAAGAATGGAAATGGATGAATAACATAATGACTCCTCTAACCTTTGTGTCATCGACGACTTTATTTTGACCAGCATTTTGCACCAACTGCGAGCCAAAATGAACTTTGACAGTGTCACATTTGGTCAACTCATACGGCATACCCAACATGTGCAAAAATAATTATATATACACCTGCCTATGGTTCAAGTATCACAATTTGTTACAAAAACTAGAACTTTTTTTTTTCCATCCGTCATTGTCGCCATGCTTTAAGCCTATAACAATACAGTATAAAAGCTCAACTCAAAGGTAAGGACAGTAAAAGCAAAGATTAGAGATGATGACGCAGCATCGCAGAAGTTAAGACATGCTTGTTACTGTACAGGGGAACATTCCCACTCAACCGGAAAGAGATGCGAAACAAATTGCATTTCACAGCACACAATCTGGTCCAACTGCATTTTAAAGTGTTACAACAAAGACTGCTTAAAAAAAAAAATCAGTTTACAGGAGAATAAACACAAACACTCTGCAAATGATAATGAATGTGCTGACATGTCTCTTCAACAACCCAAGGCACTCAGGCTCTTACGTTGGCAATGAAGATATCAGAGTCTTTGCACAAAAATCACGCCAAGCGGGGTGGTTTTAGAGAAAGGAGAGTGATCAAGAAACAGTTTTGTGTTTTTCATGGTCTCCAAAAGCAAAGCTTTGCTTTTAAATAAGTCCACCTGCGTGTTTTCCACAGTGCAAATCCCTGGCAGTCAAGACAGGAAAGACTGCTGAAGAATTCATTAGTTTTCTTCAAGTTCTGTGACATCAGTTTTCAAAACCCTACATGACTTCCCTGCAGCACGCTTCAACCCGGCCTGTTATTTTTTTGCTCTTACAGAGCGACCCCTTCCTTTCAGAAGTGCCATCAGTAGCTTTTTCCAAATATAACCACATGTACAATCAAGCACTGCAGGATGCCAAGGTTGAACTCTTCAGTGACCTCCTCCCACACAAGATTCTAGTAAAAACCTATCAAATCTTCCACAAATAAAGTTTTGAAAAGACCTATAAAAATCCCAGAAGCTGTTCACTGAAAGAGTCTTATCCTGATCCTTTAAGTTGGCTGACACCGTGGCAAAAATGGCATTTGCAAATGTTTTCTTCGTTTACAGGTCAGTTCAGTTGAGCTGACGACAAGCTTCAAATGTCCATTTCGAGGCACCGCCATAAATATCCAGGCTCGTCTCCATCCATGCAAACACGTTGCCCACTTGAGCTTTGCTGCTGCAGGTGGCCAAATTATAAATCTCCCCCACGGACAGCTTCCGATCCCAGATGTGGAAATTGGCCAGGTCCCCAACAAAGGCTTGTGTGGCGTCGAATCCCCCACCATAGGTGTCCTGTGGAAAATCCATTTTAGTGAGGATGATCGAGATGTTTGGTGCACAGAAAAAGTAGCTAATCTCGTGACAAATAAAAATAAAAATATGTATCCTAAATGAATTTTGTTTCTGAATTGTTTTGCACCAGAATTCAAGCACAAGAATTATTATTTTGAATGATTAAGATTTTTGTCTGAGAACTAAAGAACACTAAATATTAAAAATGTGCTTCCTTGATATAATTTACAATTCATGCAAATTTAAGGAATTACAATAGGATTTTGGTTTATGCATGAAAGCATATGTAACATTTTTTTTTTCATTTTTTATGCATAAAAAGAGGCAATATGCATGCTGTAGGTTGCCTAATGCTCTAAAAGAATAAATATGAATTTTGATATATTGATTGTAAAGGGAGACATTTTTTAGGATTTGACCTGCAGTACAGTGCTGATATATGCAACATGTTCATAAACAAATAAACATCGGAAAATTAATATATTATTATTAATAGAATATTAACCATGTTGCTATGGGCATAAAGAAAAGAGATAATTGAAATCCCTTTTTAATTAGATCCATGACAACAACAGAGGAAAAGCAGGGAGGCAATAAATCCACACTGCTTCTTCCTTACCTGTTCTTGGCCAAGGATTAGTAATCCCTGGGGTTTGATTGGATGATACGGAGCCAGATTCTCTCCACTCCCTCTTTTGACACCATCCTGGTAAGCTTCCCAAACCCCATCCCGAGTAGTCCAGGTCACACAGATATGGTGCCACTTTCCGTCATTGATGAGAAAAGGCAGTTTTGCAACCTTCAAAGAGAGTCATGCATATCTCAGTATTACGTAAATTAAAGAATAAAAAAGTAATGAAATTAAAGAAATGGGAGGATAGTCTGTTTAACTATTTGCAAATTTTATATACTATTAAAACTAACTAAACAATGCTAGTTATAATACTACATGATCCACTAGTACAAGGAGTAAATCTTTAAATCAATCGAGAGCAAGTGATGGTGTTTCCATTTAGACATACCTTGTCATTGATCAGTATCTCCATCGGGTTATTTCCCCACTCTATGAGGACCAACTCGTTGGCCTGACCTGGGACTGCATAGGAGAAAGGTGTTCCTACTCCAGGTGATGCATTGGACTTTAGCCACATGCAAACAGTCAGGGCGTACATTTCAGGCAAGCTTTTCTTCACTTTTGCATACATGTAGTTGGTCCTCAGAGGGAATGTGAGCTGAAATTTATCCAAAGGCCTGTTTTCTCTCTGACCTAGGGGTGTCAAAAACACATGTAATTTATTTTCTTTTTACATACCACCATTTGATAAATCTTGATAAACATGTATATATCTCTCCATTCGCACACAACCTCAGGATTTGGAATTACACGTTACACAACATATCCACATATGAGGCTAAAGCTCTAGATTTGCTTTAATCTCGTTGCACGATAAATCCATCACTAGAGTAGAGATGTTGGTAACTAAAAGTTGTCTCTACATGCAATCATGCGTGCCTGGCATCATATGCGTCTCACAGAGATAATAAGTCAGAGTATTAATTCAAGAATGGAAATGGTGGCGACAGACTGACTGGAAAGGTTTCATCTGCTGAAAGTGGAGCAGGATGCTGCAGGATGTACAGAGGTTCAGTTGTAACTGCAAGATTTAATCAGCTGCAGTCTTTTTTAAATGCATGATAATTAGATTTAGATTAGGAAGATTAGATAATTTAATATATGGAATATGAGATAAATATTAAACTACCCCGAAATTAAAATTAATAAATTAGTATGGAGAATATATTTCTCTCATTACACTTACCTTTTTCTAGATCTGTGATCCTTTGGTGTAGAGAGGTGAGTGTGGACTCTACTCTCCCACGCTGCTCAGTCTCATTCCTGAGACCAGGCTTTCCTTCTTCGATGCTGTTTACCCGGGACAACACCTGCTTCTCCAAATCATCGATTTTACTTTGAAGCAGGTCCTTCAGGCTGTTGTTCTGCACCGAGTTGTTGCTCCTGCTGAATTGCTGTGAGAGAGTGACACCTTATTAAGTTTAATCCTAAGATATTCAGTTGTTTAGAAGAAAACCTTTATCTGTATAATGTATAAAGTGGTTTGTTGGAATGATTTCTAGGATATGTGATGGGAAATGAGCTTTGCGCACGGTTAAGGCGCTGAACACTTATCCAGAATCCTACCTCTAGATTCTCTAATCTCTGCTTCAGTGACTGTAAAGTCTGAGAGAGCTGCGTCAAAGTCTCCGCGGGGCCTCTAGAGACGTCCCCCATTGTGTTTTTGGTCCCCGCTTCTTTCCTTCTGCCCCCGGGCCGCGCGTCCCCGGGCTCCACGCCGCCGCTCTGACTCTCGCACCTGGCCAACTTCGAGGTCAGCTCCCGTATTGTCTCCTTTTGGTTGATGATCGTCTCCTTCTGCTGCAGCACGGTCTCCCGCAGCTGCATCACGGTCGTTTTCAAGTCCTCCCCCGGTACACTGTTCTGTAGTGTGGCCGCGCAAATGTCCACATCCTTAGGCACGGATGTGCATATGAACTGTGTCTGTCCAACAAAGTCTTGGGATAAACTCTCCAGAAACACGCAGGAGAAAAGAAAAAGTCTCCAGGAGAACCCGCTCCTCGTCGACCACATCCTGCCGTAGTGTGCGCGCGGTTTTGTTTTAGTTGATGATCCGCAGTGAGTGTTCTCTTGATGTGGTACTCCGCCTGTATGAGCGCAGCCGCTTTTATACGCGGAGCGTCCGGTCGGTTCTGCGCAGAGAAGCTTCACTGCATCATAACCTGGGGGGGTGGCGGGAAGTGCGCTGCCCCGTTTGGAAAGAGAGAGAGGAAAAACAGAGGGCTAGGATTCGAGGGATGAAACCCATTTCCTTTCATAGAGCTACATTTTAAATCTTTTATCACTTAGACTGTTTGTCATTTCCCGGCTGTGTATTATTAATCTGACAAAAACGCAGATGTGTTGGAAGGAAGGACGGCGCACATTTTTGTGGCTCTGGGCCAATAGAAGCCCGCTGTGTGTATATATGCTTTGTTCTGGGTGATCTTGGAGCTGGAGGTGAATAGGTTTTACGCACAGCAAAAGTTTGCGATCAGAGGATTCAGCACCGAGGACAGCTCCAAATATCAGGAGATGATTCCCAGTCCAACTCAAAAGGTTTACCATTACTTTTGACACACAAAATTAAATACAAATTTATGTTTGTCTTTCATTTAAAACTGTATTTATTTTTTCAAGGTCCTGTAGAAACAGAATCATAAAAAAAAAAATGCCTTTTTATCAAAACATATATGCAAAAACTCAAACCTTTTCAATGAAATTTCCCAAAAAGTAAATGTAAGGCCCTGTTATACACCCAAAGCATGCCATTTTTTATTTCAACAAGCTTGAGACAAAGTGTTAGGTTTAACATGAAGGTATGGTCATCATACCTTTTTTTTAAGTATAGTCGGGGGAACTAAACACCAATCCAACACACTGAAATGCTTAACTGTTATCTCTCGCTGGTTTAAGAGTGAGAAGCCTAACATGTACGGTATTTGCAAAACATCCCTTCATTAAGTAAAGTCCAGGCAGAGTTGATTCACATCTGATCATTAAGTGACAATTATTAAGATTATTACATTTTTCCTGAGCCCAGATCAGCTAATTAAGAGATTCCAAACCTCAAACACACACATACATATATCCAGACTTTAGCTGATGCAAGTGTGACCTGCTCTCCACAACACTTTAATATTTTAATATGTAATGAAAGCATGCCAGCTCTCAGATTAAAACTGGCTGAGAAGATAGAGCGCATGCATGATGGGACAAAAAAAAAAAAAAAAAAAAAAACAGATCTGCACGTGACCATTAAATAGTAGGTTAAAATGTTCTCTAGATAATTGCTGGTATCTATAGGAGGACACTGCAGCTGAAAGGCTTGGGCTTCCTGAATGTGGAACTGAATGATTAAATGTTTTTCCAGAGGGATAATGTGATATAAAATGTTTGTAACATGCAAATTTTTTTTTTTTTACAAAGAAAAGGAAAACTGATTATCAGTTTTTTTTTGTTTGTTTAAATCCTTAAAAATGTTGATGTATCTCTCCCCTCTGAGACTATACTTTGCAGAAGCACCTCCTACTGCAATTACTAGTGTAAGCATTTTCATGTGTGTCTCTACCAGCTTTGCATAACAAGTGATAAACATTTTTGTTTTTCATTCTTGGTTTGAAAATGATTTTATTACACTTAGATTAGATGAACGGTGTCGGGGAACAACAAGTTTTAAGTTTTCTTTACAGAATATCAATTCAAAGGAGATTTTAATTAATATTGGGTTGGGAGGGAATTGGGTTGTGTAGGCATTTGACAGTGATAGTGGTGTCGAACATGGCCTCATGGTGATAAACTGAAGACAATAAGCAAATGATGAAAATGCTGTTCTTGGTATCAAAAGAGTTGGAATTAGACACAATAAATATAAAATCAGTAAATACTGAAAATTATGAAAATTATATATGAATATGGCTTCTATGATATGTTTGGAAATTCTCCATAACCTTTGTCCAGTTGTATTTATTGTCTTTGTCTTTTTTTTTTTTTATTAATACCAAACATCAGAGTGTTTTAACTTCTATTGTAAGTGTTGTATTTCTGCTCCATTTCCCACTGTAATTACTTGATCTCTGAAATGCTTTTTTTATTAACCAACTTTTATTACCAGCATAAAATGTGCTAAAATATATACATTACAAACTATCAAGATCTTTATCTTTAAATATAATGTTTGTATCCTTTCATTTCATAACAAACTAGTTTGTGTATCTCATATATAATACGCAATAAAGTATACTGGGGTATTTGACAGTAATTCTTCTATATTTAAAGCATTAAATGGGTTTAGATAGTTTGGCTAGGTGCTGTTTTTTTGTATTATTTATTTTTTATGAATTCATCTTTATATTCAAAGATGTTTAGATGAAACAGAAGGGAACCAATTACCTTCTTATGACAGAGTGCCAACAAACAGCAAAAAAATTATTTTAAAATTACCATTTTATTTTTATTTTTATGCGTAGTGACAGGGGCCTTGAAGGTCTTGGCCATTAAACATACATAAAACAGTCAATTCCTGGGAGAAGTGAGTAAAAACAGTTATGGTGCAAAGAACATTTCAAATAAAATTGAAGAACTAATAATTAAGTACCCCTAAGATGATAAAAACAAAGTCTGATTGTGTAAGAGGCCAAAGGATGAACCTTTAAGGATAACTTGTGACATTAGTACAGCATTTATGTTGTTTTTCTTGCATAACAACCTTGACAACAAAGGAATAAATCGATCTGATCTCTTCAACATGCATTAGGCGAGTGTTTTATAGCATGACATAACTTGTAGCCCGCACTCATGCATTTGATTGTTTATTGTCCCTTGAACTTTTTTATTTGGATTACAGATGGTTTAAGGGCTGCAACCTTATCAAAAAGAAAAGGAGGTAGAGAGAGAGCTTTAATGAGTTCCCTCTCTTTATCCAGGGTAGATGTAAAGTCTATGATATTATTGAAAACAAGGAGAAAAAGATTACAGGAATGAAGACAACAGCTTGTGAACTTGACATGAAAGGGATAAAAATAAACTTTTCAGTGATGTAACAAGGCAGGATTTATAGAAATGCTGCTTACAAGTAGGTTTGCAAAAAATGATCAGTGTAAAACATTGGTCAAAGATTAAGAATAGCTCAGCTCAGCTGTCACTTATATCCTCTGTAAAACTTAAGTACACCAAAAAGTATCTCATGAATAACTAGACAGAATAACTCCATTTTGCTTTATTTAGATAATGTATATTGGTCTAGACTACACTATGTAGACCATACTGTAAATTACTGGTGGCCTTATGAATCAATCAATTAACCTATAAAAAACTGTAATTAAAATTAGTATCAAGAATAGATAAGCACATTAGCAATATTTATGTCATTCATACTGTATGTACTTTATTAAGCATTTTGCCTACATGCCTACAATTAAACAGTTCAATTCATTGAGGTGTGCTGGACCATGGATGAATATAGTTGCAGGATACCGGCCCTTATCCATCCCTGGTTTATGGGGTTTTGTTTCTAAAAGTCAGAATACTCTAAAACCTTGGAGTGCATTTCCATTTTCTGTCATTTCTTTACCAAATGGATTTTATTGTAACTTGTTTCTGGCTGCTTAATTCAGAGCAGTATTTTTCGTGTTTTTGTCTTTTTGCATTTGCAAAGGCCAAACTAATGCATAATATCATGCCTCAGAACAGAAAGACCCAGTATTTGAGGCAAGACAGAAAGTTTGATTATTCAAACACCATTTATTTAAGATGGAATCCGCGGATCCAAACTAGCAGTGGCTAATGCTTCTAAGGCAGGAACCTCTACAGGAGAGAAACACGGGCTAGTGACAACAATATTCGAGAATGATTATGAGTCACTAACCTGGTTTTATAGTTCAGTTTGTTCCCAGAGAACAAGGTTGATTCCAGCCATAAGGCTGCCAACAAGATACGGCGGGCGCCGCCCGAGTCTCCCAGATGCTGCAGCTGCAGAGAATGGAGAACAAGCAGTAATCCGAATCCAGGTCAGGCGAACAGACCAGAACAGGGATAGGCAGGCTCAGAGGTTGAGAGGCTGAACAGGATGAGGTAATCAGAAACACTAAGGTAATGCTAAAACGCTCTCACCACTGGTGCGTGAGAATAATATGGGCCTGATGACTGGGTGCAAGCAGTTTAAATAGAGGCAGGAGCAGGTGGATCAGATGAATAGAATTTAGAAAACGGGCAGAGTTAGCCAGGTGAATGAAATTAATAATAAAGCCAGTCATCAGCACCAAGATCATGACATATAAACAGTATTTTTCTGATTAAAATTGATTCAGAAAACTCTATATAGTTATAATAGTCCAGATACGATTTACCCTGAATGAAAAGAGATATGTATCATAGTAAAATGTTTTATATAATAATTTTTAATAGCTTCCTACGCAATTTTGAACACATTTGACTCACGTCCAAAAACAGTCTTTGCTTCTTAAAAACTGTCCTCTGCACCATCATTTATTCTTCCTAGACATCCTTGTACACGTGTACGCTCTTATCCAGGTGGGTTCAGCCCATAGGCAATTTGTGTTGTGCTGCAATTTAGAAAAACAAAAAATAGAGAAATTGTGACAACTGTTGAACTTCTAATGTATTTAGCTTTGCTGTTCATGAAATAATAACAAGCTTGAATGAAATCATTATTTGTTCTGCAAGCTGTTTTGCTGAATATGTCAGCACAACAATCGATGATGATGTAGCTGAGCTCATAAACAACAAAACAGCAGTTTGTAGCACTTGTTCTAATCATACGCTCTCTATTGCTTTGGTTCTGTCAAAACTTGGCCGCTCTCCGTCTGTTGTGTTGAGCAGTATCCTCTCAATAATGCATTCATACACAGAGGAAATGCATTGGCCAGCACCAAAGATCAATAGCTGTAATTTCACAAGCTGGCACGGTGCCCCCACTGGATTTCTCTCCCTGACTTATTTTTCCCTTACTACAATAGTACAGACCATTTTGTATGAAACTAAATTTCTATAGGAGCCTGGCTTCCAAACGATAAGAAACAGACATACATTTTTAATGCAGTTTTATGATTCCTCTCCTTCTTTACCAAATTCTGACACAGTTGTGGACATTTTGAAAGAGTCTTTGTTTGTACTTAGAGAACAAGTACATCATTTAAA